GAAAACCTCCACCTGAAACACCGATTCTGACCCATCTGAAAGCCTAGCACCCGCTTTTGCCCACAGCAGGTTTACTTCTCCTGAAATTACGCTGGAATGGAATCCACTTATGAAACACTCTGGACAGAATGCCTAATATATTCTTAATAGCTTTCCCTTCTACTATTTTTTTTAGATTTTATTTATGTATTTTTTAGAGAGGGGAAGGAAGAGAGAGGAAAAGAAACACCAATGTGTGGTGGTTGCCTCTCATGCGCCCCCTTCATGTGCCCTGACTGGGAATTGAACCAGCGACTGTTTGCGACCGTTTGATTTGTAGGCCGACACTCAACCACTGAGCCATACCAGGCGGGGCATGGCTTTCTCTTCTACTTGATGAACATCTGACATCCATATGACTCATGAGATTACTACCTCTACTAGGGTTTACAAAATATGACAAATGAATGCCCTTTCAGGTCAAAGACAAATTTTCATTTTGGCTATGCTGGTAGTAAACAAATGTTCGAAGACAAATTGTACAGTTACCTGAGTGTGAGGTCCGCGGGCATATACACACCACGACTGCTTTCCAGGGGGGTAATACTCCTTTTAAAATACGGTGCTTTCGACTATGCCCCTTCCAGAGGGGAAAGCATGTTAACAGAGCATACCAGGTGAGAACACAGTTATGATTCTAAATAACAGTGCTGTTACTGTAAAAGGCCATCAGAAAGCCAGCCCTTTATTACTGCTGATGTTGTTTCCAATCTACAAATTGTGTTACCCGCGACTAACTAAATTATTAAAGAAAACCCGCTGGATATGGTCAGTTCAAATAGTTCATAGATACCGAAAATAAATTTTAAAAAAAAATGTAAGTTGATTTAAAATTGGGCGACAAATTTTCTTTGTGTAATATACGAAGTCTCATCAATTCCAATTTCAGCAACAACTCAAAGTAATTCAAAACATAATTTTAATAACTGTACAGAATTGTAATGTGGTTTAAATTTTAATTTAATTTCATGACTGAAATCCAGAAAAACCACATATCACAATCTTTTCTGAACACAATATTCACAAGAGTCAAAGAGCATTTTATGAGAGCACTGACCACTAACATCTTTGCCACACCTTTTACAGAACTACGCCAAAATCTTGGGGGGAGGGTACCAGGGCCTGGTGATAGTTAGGGACCCGTTGAGGTATATCATTAGTAAAAATGGGCCACTCAGGGTTTCATAAACGTCTTTAAGGGACAAGGATATAATGTACCTCAAAATGAAGCAGGAAAAGCAGAGTATGTCACAGACTAATTAAAGTAAGACTTAAGATTAAACACAGAAACACAACAACCTGCCCAACTGAGGGAAGTTAGTAACAAAGGAAACACAAAGCCTGAGATGATCACAGGCCCCACAGGGAAACGCAGAAGCAGGGTGTGTTTCCCCTGTGCGCACACATTAGTCACTATCCACTCCCGAACTCCCCTGCTGGAGCCGTGCTCACCACTGGATCTCTTAATGACACTGTGGCTTTCTGCACGCTGGACGAAGCTGGGCAGGGGCGGAATGAAGAAGCATGGGGGGGGGGGGGGGCTTGCTCCCCTTATCCTGCCAAGAAAACGCCAGACAGCGAAGACCCACGGGGGCCACTGGCCGGGCTTCTTTACTGACATTTCTATGCTCTCTCTAAAGAAACAACTTCCGATGACTTACTGATTGGCAGCATGGAAGTGTCTCTGAAAAGAATACATACCACCTGGTGAACTGAGAAGGCGTCAATGACAGAATGCTGTGAGTATAGAGATAATCACTGAAGAATGAGGAATTAAGGAACAGGAAGTTATTAAGGCAAACATAACTAGCAGCCCAGACCTCATATCCACACATTTCAGGAGGGCTCAGAACCAGATTTACAGGACACCAAGAGAACCCATGTGAAGGAAGTAGAAGCAACTTCTAACAATGTGACAATGAAAGGGAACCACAAAGTCCTTCTTGAGGGACAAGTTGTCCCCACTTCAGCACGTGAGGGACCTTCTGCCACTGTGGGAGCCCTGTTACTACTGTTCCGTGTTCACTGCTTCTCTGACCAGCGCCCGCTCGGCACCTACGCTCAGAGGGCCTTGAGCCTCGCCCACCTCCGATGAAGCCACAGAGTCCACAGCAGCACCACAGGGGACACCCAGTGCCAAGACTGAAAGAAGCAGGCTCAAAGGGGACAGTCAACACGAAAGAAAGATCTGATCGCCTAGGACTGAAAGGATGGTAAGTACTTTTATAGTAGTGAAACCCAGGATTTTCAAGCGAAACTACGAGAACCGTACTACATAAAATAAAGTCATTGGTTTAAAAAGAGCTATTTTTAGTTCATGTAATGTACTTTACAAGGTCAATAAATGAGAACAGCGAGGCTATTTTTTAACACAAACATTTTAAATGAAAGGTTAGAGTAAACGGGAGCAGTGTCGTATCAGCCTTAATCTCCGAATTAAGTGCAGATTCAAGAAATGAGAAAAATACAGTTTCAAGATAGTTTTAATACCTCTCCTTGCAGATCTCAGGATCTCCTACGACTGATCCAAGAAGCTAGAAAAAGAAAACTGGAAGAAATATTTATTTCTAAGTTTAATCACCAACAAGAACTGCTGCTCTCCTTGTCAAGAACCTTTATCAAAAGTGACAAGTACCCATGGCTGACAAGAAGCGGAAAACTCTACACAAGCACTACCGCCTCTCAACCTGTTCTGTGTTCCTCAGTCATTGCGTAACACTCACGTCAGCATGCACGGAGCAGATGTTCTGGGCTGGCACCTGCCACAGAGGCACACTGGCCAACAAGAGCAGGCCTGCACTGCACAGAAACCATGCTCCAGAGCGGCCTTCGTAATCAACGGCATGTCGGCATAAAGCACAGGAACAAAGATGGCAGGCGGAGCTTTATTCTGGTCCATCCCCAAACCAATTAACCATGTAGCACAGACAACTACATGATCAGTCTCCAAAGTGTTAAACCATGGCATCTAGCACATTCTGAATGTGCAAGTTGAGTTTTTAAAAATTGGTTAAAAACATAAGCAGGAGAAACCCAAATAAACAGACGCAGAACCCTGGAAGCATCCTCTACTAAAGATCCGCAGGGAGTCTGTCAGCGGTCACCTCTGTGCAGGGAAGAGGTGGTGGTGACCACGAGGGTGTGTAAAAGGGAAAACAACAGCTTGGTCAAGTCATCTGTTTTATGGACTAGCTATCGTATAATTAACTGCAATTGTTGCTAAGAAAAATATTTCTAAAATCTTCTTGTTCTGTACACTGCTGTTCACTTAAAGTTGGATGAAGCCCATTACCCTGACCTATTTTTACTATAACAATGAGAGAAACCTGGCTAAAAAAATACAGGTTTCTTTTGATCATTGGAGAAACTCATTTTTATGGCACAGAACTGCTTTCCTCTACCCCTTTTACTTTTACCCAGAAATATTCACAACCATTTTATCCCAAAAAATAGTTACACAGAATTGTAACTTCTGACTTGACCATTTGGATAATGAAATCACACCTCTTCTCGGTGGTTAGGGGTGTGGAATGTACAGCCAGGTCTGAGTTCAGGACAAGCTGTGAACTTGGACTGGTTACTTAACCTCTGTGCCTCAGCTCCCTCACCTGTGAAAGAGAAAAAATTGCAGGACCTGCCTCATCTGGTTCTTACAAGGATTACATGGGTTAGGCAAAGAAAGTGGCATACTTTAAGCATTTACTAAGTATTCATTATTATGTGTAAAGAAAAACTTAACAAAGTCGAGTGATCAAAGACTGAATTCACTAACAAATTTACTTAATAAACTTTCTGACAAAACTTCTACCAATGTCAGATATACAGAAAAAGAACAAAACGAATCTTCATTCCACCATATGCCACTACTGAGAGAAGCTGGTCCTTAAAAGGTCACCAAAGGGCTTCAGAAGGGTCTTAGAATTAAGGAAAATAAAAAGCAACCTTCTTTACAGCCTATACAAACACTGGGTCGCGAAAGCAAGAAAGTGTTTCCTGTCTTCCGTTGTAACTACAACTACAGAATTTAAAATTCCTCTGAGCAGGAAAAAGAAAGAGAACACCTATCTGCCTGATTCCTGGACTGCAGAGCCAGGCAGGAGGCCGGGCAGCTGCGGCAGCGTTTCCACTTCGGGGCCAGGGGGCAGCAGTCTGCAAGTTCACTGGGGATGCGAAGGACGGGTAAGAGGGCATCCGCGAACACAAACACAGGCACAGAAGAAGAGGGACATTCCTACTAGCGTGGTGAGTTTGAGCTCCCAATCCAAAAATTAAAAATAAAAAACCATGAAGTTAATTAGTAGCGTGTCTAGAGAACAGAATGCAGCAAATACTTCGGGTACCAAAGTTCCACCTTAGGGCTTCCCACGGCAGCAAAGTTTTAAACAAATCAAGCCTTTACTCGCGTGCACGTGTGAGCCTCGATCTGCACAATGCTTCCACTAAAGGCCGGCCAAGAGCCCTCGGAGAACCCCACCTGCTTGTGTACGGAGTAGAAGTGGGTGGCCCAGGGGGCAGAGAAGGGCAGGAGAACCCCGCAGAGAGCGAGCCAGTGCGCATCTGCTTCACAGGCGTTCACTTCTTGACTCGAAAAGGGGCGGAGAAGAAGCGCGTAGGTTCAGCATGGATGCAAGCGATTTCGGCGCGGCCCCGCTTCAGAAGCCCGCGGCCGGGACGTGGTCCCGGTGCCCACAAGACCACGGAGCCCCGCCTGGTTCCTCACCAGCAGGAGCATAGCGGAGATGGCCCCCGGGCTGGGTGCTCGAGCGGGAGTCGCTGGGTAGCCCCGGCCGCCGCGCCCTGGGTCGCAGCGCGGCACCCCGCCCCTCGGCCCGGCCCCGGAGCCTGGATGTAGCCCTGGCCACCTGGCGGGAAGCAGAGGCCCCCACGCCCCCTCGGCCTCCCACCAGGTGCGGCCGGGACGAGCCCCGCTCCGCGCCGGGGCTGACGGCAGCCTCTCTCACCTCGCCGCGCGGTAGCGCTCGGGCTCCGGCTCGGGTTCCGCCGGCGGCGGCGGCTCCTCCATGGCGGCGGCGGGGGTGACGGCGAAGGCGGGTGGGGGGACCAGCGCGGCGGCGGCGGCTTCTCTCATCCGTGCGCGAAGCCCCGCATAGCCGCGACGGGCAAGGAGCTGCAGCCCAGCGCGGGGACCGGGGCCCTGAATGCTGGGGTGACGCGCTCCGCCTCCGCCCCTAGCCCGCCGCAGGGGCCGCTCGCGCCGCGGCCATCTTGAGAACGGCAACCGGCCCGCGCCGGGCTACGGCGGGCGGCGAGGGACAAGCCTCCCCGGCCGGCGGCGGCGGGCGCGGGGGCGGACGGGTGGGGGAGCCAGCGAGGGAGGGGCGGAGGGAGCGGCCTAGGGTGGCCGGCGGCGGGGGCGCGGCAGCGTTCGCTCTGGACTGTAATCTCGCCCCCACCAGGGCCAGATGAGCTGTGCGCGCCGAGCCCCAAGTGATGGTGTGGGGCGTGTGCGGAGGACCCCGGCAGCGCGGGCACGGCCTCAAGGCGGCGGCGATGGATGACTTTTAAGTGCTCTGTAAACTTTAGCAAGTGGATCGCCGCCAAGAGTGATGCCATCCCCAGAAATACGGTTCGATGGTACGCGGGCGCTCACCGGTCCCACGCAGGCCATGAGGCTTTGGGGGGTCTGCGAGTCCTGGGGTGGGGAGGACTCTGATGGAAGCGCAGTCTTAACTGTGCATGGAAAACTCAGTTGTTTCATACTGTTAAAACAAAGATTCTGGAGACGCCCAACATGAAAGTTAGCCTCTCATTCAGAGGGCAGAAAAAGAGTAGTGATGTAACCTTAGCGTCGCGGGTCGGGCGTAGATCCTGCAGGAGCTCGTGCTCCCGCACCCCGGGTAGAAAGCCATTGTAAAGGCGATTGCATAAAGCACGTCCCCGCACACGCACACAAAAGAGATGACTTCAGACACGACTAACAGTATATCATGTTCTCTTAGCACTTGAGCTTCACAGTGTCAAGTTACAAATATTTATAAATTTTTCCATGGGGTGAAGTCCAGGGTTCATTCAAAAAGAGCACCATTAAAAATTAAGTACGTCTATTCAAATGTGCTGGTTTTTAAAACCTTATTCGGTTGAGTTTGAATATGTAAAATATACGTTTTGAACAAATGTTGGTAAGAAAACTGGCCAAGACAGAAAACCTTAAATATAATTATATTTAAAGGCCCACTGTAAAATTAGTTTTGCACTCCAGGTACATTACAGAAATTTCTCTGTAACTGAAGAACTTCCTCAATCTATTTTCTTCGTCATGGTTGTCTGAATTATGTACTTCATGTCACAGGGCTGAATTTCAGAATTAGCATTAATTTTATTTTTTCAACAACATTCATTCCACAAATACTAAATTTGTGTTTGTGCCAGGAACCGTGTGCTAGGTGGCAGGGATACAGTGAGCAAAACAGACAAAGTGGTTTGCCAGTACAGCTAACATCCTAGTTTAGCGAGAGAAAGCAAGTAAATCTACAGCCTATCAGACTGGAGAGGAGTGGGAGAGGCAATGCTATTTTACACAATTGGTGACAATAAAGTTAAATGATCTGGTCATACAAATCATTACAAAGAACACTAACACATGAACACAGTGAATTTCACATTTTGTTTTACAAATAGTTGCATGGCCAAATGATTTAACTTTATCCTGACTCACAGAAGTATTTTCATGTTTGGATAAGTCACTGTTCACAAATAACCAGAGCCACTGTGAGCCCGGGGCCTGGCCTCAGCCTGCAGGCTTGTAAATCAGTGACATTCCATAGTAGACCAACATCTGGGACCAGAGTGGCTTGTCGTCATTTTAATTTCCACTGGGGGGCGCTGTTTTGGCAAGAACAAATTTACATTTACTCGTGTAAGGCGTCACGTGTGGAAACCTCCATTAACTAATATTAAACATTCAATTCCAATCCAGGCAACTTTTTCTTTATTCCAGTTACTTCTGTGTACTGCATCAACCTTTTGTTGCGATTTGTATTGCCCTCCCATACCGTGCCACTCCAGACGGCAACTCCATGCTCCAGATTTCAAGATCTGAACGTGTTTCTCCAGCCCCACCCTAACCTCACACCCGCTGCTCGCTGGGGTTCTCCGACTTGGTGAACCGCAGCCCCTTCACCCAGTCAGAGCTCCAAACGGCCATTCCCTCAGCCCCTGACTAAAGGGTCCGTACTCCTCTGGAAACCAGTCACCTCTCTCCATCCTCAGTGGTTCAGAGGGCTAGCGTGTCTCACTCCAAAGGTTGCCACTGTCTCCTGGGCTCCCTGCCTGTCTGTGGGCTCACTCCCCCACCCTGGCTGCTCTCGCACTGCAGTCACCACAAGCTGCCTGAGTCGCCATGAAACTTGTCGCTTGCATACCTAATTCATTTCATTGACCTCTCACTGCTGTCAGCATCAAGTCCTTAACGGACTCCGTTGAGCCGAGGGCTGTGCGGAAGGAGTCACCGTTCCGTCCCAGCAGCCTTTCCAGGCGGAAGTAGGCATGCTGCTCGCGAGGCCAAGTCCCACCCGGGGGAGCGCACACCCAGCAGGAGTGAGAGGTGGGCATTCGGCATCCACTGCAATGATAACTTACAAATAGTTCTTCAGTCCTGGCTGGTGTGGCTCAGTGGATTAAGCGCAGGCCTGGGTTGTGGGCCAGGTCCCAAGGAGGGGTGGGGACACGTGAGAGGCAGCCACACATTGACCTTTCTCTCACTCTCTTTCTCCTTCCCCTCCCCTCTTTAAAAATAAATAATATCTTTTTAAAAAACAGTTCTTCGAAGGGATAAACAGATTTTATCTTAATAAAATAGCTGACACATAACTGATACATCAGCTATCAGGGCATCCTTAGCATCACATCAAGGCCAGGGTATTAAGCAGAAAGTCAATTTTATGAATTTTTTGCAAGATGATTTGAAAACAGTGTGCTGACTATTGTCAACAGGGTTATATCTTTGTTATTTTTTAAAAAGGCTATCGGTTTTTAAATTAGTATGAGCATGGTACTGCATTGCACTAGACCACGTTTCTCCCATCCCCCAGGATTAGTAACCCTGTGCAGAAGCGCAGGCACAGACCTCGCCAGCCCTGCGCTCTCCCGCCGGGGCGCTGCTGGCAGCTGGGCTGAGCTCTACAGAGGCAGAAAGACAAGAGCGCAGATGACCAGGCTGCTCTAGCCAGGGGTGATGGACTCACTTCTGTCCTGTGCATGCGAAAGTCCACTCAGCGAGAGAGCAATGCAGCCTCCCTCCCAGCAAGGAGAACCTAAGCTGAGGCTACATACATTCATATTTTCTTCTGCAGCAAGACACAATGAAATCTACACCTACTAGTAAAACACCCAAAAATGATTAGTTGCCCCATGTTTAAAATTGTTGACACTACTACAGCGGTCCTCGTTCCCGCCCCCCCCCATCTTCCCACACCACCACATCCTCGTCTGTGTCCTTGGGGCCATGCATGTATGTTCTTCGACTAACCTCTTCCAGTCCCTCCCGTTCCCCTCCCCAAACTTTTTAAATAGGCCTCAAAACATTTAAGTTTCATCATCCTCTGTTGAGTAGTGGGAAGTCACAGAGAATTTCCACTGTTTTTCCAAGAGGTAATTTGTAATTCGCCTCCTTCGGTTAATTCTCCACCAGGACAAATCACCCACTTCAGAGACTTTCTCTTCTGTACAAAGGGTCTAAAAGGAGCCTCTGAGGACTCTGAGTTATTAAGCAAAGGATTAAAAGCTACCGTCTTTCTTAATGGTTAAAATAGTGTGCATGAAACTAACCGAGGGAAAGGCCACACCTCCACTAGGTGAGGATCTCGAGGTGCGCCAGCTGCAGAAGACCACAGGGGGCTGACCACGCCCTCCATCTCCTTCTCCAAGTGCAGGCGGGGCCCCTCCTTTCTCCCTGCTCCTATTTTCCGTTCCCCCTCCAGGATCCTGCTATTAGATCAACAGTTGGCTTTAAAAAATGAAACCCCTGAAGAAGTTCACCCTTCTTGCTAGACAAAAACGTCCATCATGCCCTACCAACACATCCACAGGACACGCCTGGACCTCATCCTTTTGTTTCTCTTTCAAAGCCCAGGTGCAAGTTTAGAGAACTGGGAAACCACCCATGGCAGCTCCTGAACTGTTTTCAGATCCCTTCCAGTCAGTAAGTGCCTGCTTTGCCCACTGCCCGGAACCAGGCTCCAGGAACTGGTGACTAACCCCGAAGAGCAGCTCCTTGCGCTTGGCCAGGGCCTCCTGCTCTTTGCTCCCACGTGATAAAGTCACTTCTTCCAAATGCAGCTCGGGGCTCCCACCCCACTCTCTGAAGACTTCTCTGAGCGCACTGCCAGCCTGCCCTAACCTGACAGCAGGTGCCCTCTTAGGTGACCCCCTAAGCGTGTGGGCAAGCCCTGTAGCGCCGTCCACCTACCTCTCTTCACGTAGGTATCTGGTTGATTACATGTGTCCTTCTCTCTCTGTGACCTTCTCAAGAACAAGTGGTATTTCCTGCTATCACATCTTCGGCACCTAGAGTAACGCACACCCTGTACAGTACATGTTCAGTAACCTGCCTGTTGAAAAAATGAACTCGGTGAGTATTTGAATAGATGGATGGATTCAACTGGGGAAACAAACCTAAGATAAATTACTGTGAGACAAGCAGACTCTGAGAAGCGTCATGGGGTGAATTTTTAACAATGCAACAGCTGTTCTAAAGAGTCAGACAGCTAAGGTGCACCCTAGTAAGAAAGAAAAGGTGTGTAAAAAAACACATTCGGGATGAGGGGCAAAAGCAATGTTAACCCGTGTGAAGTTCTCAGTCACCAAACATCAGGAAGAACAGAATTAACCTGGATTCTCACGCTGATGGTGGAGAGCCAACGCCCTGTGGCTGTCGGTGCGTGGGCATGAGCACCAACAGCTAACAGGCTCTCGCGGTGCTCTGGCTGAAGTGACAGCACCGTCATCACAGGCAGATACTGCAGTGACGTTAAAACACTGATCTTTACTGAGATACAACTTTGACAGACGTCAGAAACATTTTGAGACAAAGGACTCATAACCAAAGGCCAAAAATAAGCTCTAAAAGACGGCAAACCCAGTCTTCCGAAGTCTGCATTTTCAGTTTCGCTGCGACATGGTCCCCTTCTGGTGCAAACATCCTTGAAGCTCCCTAATCCATGCATCTTCTCAGAACAAGACTTTTCTCTGCATCGGTCACGAAAGTGTCCAGGCTCCAATTTCTTCATTCCACAAAGCAACCTA